GATGTTTTGCTTTCACCCTCTCCTCTACAGAACACCTGGGAAACGCTTCTCAGCTCCAGGATTCCCGAGGCTGTGCCAAGGCCAGGGAGGCCTGTTCACGGAGAGGCAGGGGGAAGCCCCCACGCGGCACCTGACTGACAGAGGCTAATTTTAATAATGAATGATAAAACTGCACCATGTGGGAAGACACTTTGCCCAACCTTTTTAAGCTTTGCCTTTGCAGATTTACAAACATGTTTCATAGTCAACAAATGGTTTTTTTAAAAGGGGGGCCACCATGTCCTGGCAGAGCTTGGTGGCTCTGCGGTGCGGGGGCTCAAAGTCAGGGTGTCACCCAAGCCAGGACAGCCCCAAGACTCCCACATCTGATAAGTGTTAAGAGTCCGTGGGCATGGGAACATTTTCCTCTATTACCAAAGGCTGATACACAAACGAATCTCGGACCCGAGCAACTTGCTGCAGTGACGGCCCTAGACTTTGCAATTGACCGTTTCCTCTGGGCTGCTCCAGACGGGGGCAGGTGCTGTCCCTCCACCTGTCCTCTGGGAACCCCTGCATCCACCATTTTTTAGAAGTCAGCGACAAGCTCCAGGTATGAGTGGCGGCGGCGGCAAACGCCAACTTCAGGGGACAGGGGAGGGGTGGACCCTTCTCCTTCCCCCGCCCCGACAGGACTCTGAGATGACACCACATCCGGCCACCGTCACTTAAGCTCCCACACATCCACGATCCAGAGACACACCAACAAATCTCGGACCCGAGCAACTTGCCGCAGCGATCTCTTCAGACCCTAATTATTAAAATTTTTAAATTCCGAGAGCACAAGGCTGCTCTCTCAGCCGCGTGACATTATATTGTATCCATAACAAGCGATAGAAAACACATCGTCTGGCATTGCCTTTTTGCCAGGTATGAGTGGTGGTGGGACTGGTCTCGAAATATCGAAGGTAACTAAAGTAGAGAAAGAATATTGTGCGAATTGTCTGCCATACAGGCGGGGGAGGTTTGGGATGGGGGGGTGGTACTGGGGATTTTGGTGGTGGAAAACACGCACTGGTGAACGAGACGGGTGTTTGATGACTGTATGGTCGAAGTTCAAACATGAAAGCTTTGTTGCTGTACCTCACGGTGAATCAATTAAAAAAATAGAAAGATATTACCAAAGGCTGAAACAGCTGTGCCCCACAGCACCGTGCCAGGTATGGGGTAAACGCTGTCAAGGACACCAGTCGTTAAGGGGCTCTCAGCACTGGTGACCCACACAAACAGGCTTCTCTAGGACATGCAAGGCCAGAGAACAGGGTGAGAGGGGCCAGAATGAAGAAAGGGGTTTTAAGGGGGAAGCAGGAGAAACTTACCAGGAATGGCACTAGAGAGAGAAACCAGGAGAGAGGCAAAAAGCTATGCAGAGAGGAAAAGACCCAGCAAACAGCCCGTGCAAGCAGAGAACTATCAGCGGTTGATTCATTCAATGAATATTTCTGAAGTACGAGCTGGGGACGCTCCAGAGGGGAAGGCAGGCACTGGTAACGATAAAAAAATAAAATAAAATAAAATAAAATAAAAATGAACACCAATGAGCGCCTTCCACGGTGAACTTCTGGGAGTAATGATCCGTGATTTCCCATAACGCTGTATTTCAAGCACTCATTAGGAACTCGCAGGGCTAGAGATTTGGGTAGTAAAATTCAAGCATATGAAAGGAGGGAAGCTGGGTCAGGATGAGGGAGATTTACGGAATTATACACGCATTGAGAATTTGAATAAAAAAAAACTCTTAAGCACAGATCTAGGGAGTATATGAATTGGCCCCATGTCAGGCGGGGTGACCTAAAGCTCCCCAAAGCCAGCCCCCTCCAGTGTCCGTTCACAGGGAGTTGTGGGGAGTCGTCCAGCCCAGCCCAGTACAATGGTCCCTTCGTCCACTGCCACCTCTCCCTTTCTATCGTTCCTCGGTCTTGTCTCTCCTCGGCCCCAGCAAGGTTCGGGCTGGTATTCTCCGAGGACCTGCAACACAGCTGGGCCCTGAAGGCAAACAGCACCACCTCAGGGAACCCCTTCTCACTAGCCATGAAACAAAGGGACTAATCCAGTGTGAGAAGTCAGACTACACACCTGTACGAGTTGATGAGCTTTATTATACTTTATTTGCTTTTTGGGTCACACCTGGTGTTGCCCAGGGATTACTCCTGGCTCTGCACTCAGGGACTACTCTTGGCGGTGCTCAGGGAACCATATGGGATGCTGGGAATCGAACCCAGGTGGGCTGCGTGCAAGGCCAACGCCTACCCGCTGTGCTATCGCTCCAGCCCCGCTAGCTTATACTTTATTACCAAAGGATTATCAGAAAGAAAAATAAAGGAAACTAAGGAAAGGTTTCAAGGAAATTTTATTTGGGGGCCAAACCCGGTAGAAATCAGGGACCACAAGGTACTCACGACTGAACCTGGCACTCTTATATACAAAATATGCTTCAGCCAAAAAATACATTACAAATGGCTTCGTTTCACCAAAGATAGGTGAGTACGGGCACCGGCTCAGACGTTATCGTGTTTTAAAAATTAGGATCACATTGCACACTCATTTTCTAAAACTTTTATCTTTTAACACCATATAATTTAAATGCCCTTAAACATTCTTGAAAACCAAGCGTGGTAATAATAGGATAGTCACAGGTTTTGTGTGCTCAAAATAGACTTCAACCTCCTCCTAAGGTTGGATGCTCAAGTTGTCCAGCTTTTTTTCGGCTACAAACACAATGCACAATCAATACAGGTTGAGGTAATGTCTACCGAAATGCACTATTCTATCCAATTCATTGTTAAATTCAACTCATATTGCAGGGCTTGAAAATAAGTTGAACTCGCTCAGTTGCCCTGGTTTCTGAATAAGCACCTGGTTCGTAATTCCAGTCAAATGTAATTAAGCTAGTCAAAAAAGAAAGAAAGAAAGAAAGAAAGAAACTGCGAAGGCGAATTTAAAAAAAAAAAATCAAGGGACTGAAGCAATAGCACAGCGGTAGGGCGTTTGCCTTGCACGCAGCCAACATGGCCAACACAGGTTTGATTCCCAGCATCCCATATGGTCCCCCGAGCATCGCCAGGAGCAATTCCTGAGTGCATGAGCCAAAAGTAACCCCTGAGCATCGCCGGGTGTGACCCAAAAAGCAAAAAAAAAAAAATAAAAAAAATAAAAACTTATAAAAAAAAAAAATCAAGACTTGCAAGTTACCGCAAAAGGAACCGGCCACTTCAGGAAGGATGGGGCGACTCTTAACCACGCTTGAGATGACAGTGCCAGGCGGGGCGCCCCCAGAATGGGTCCAAGGAGACCGTTTTCATTCCTTCCTGGCTTTTTTCCCCCTTTTCTTGCCGTGGGCTGCAAAATACTCCGGAGCACAACTGTGCGGGCTCGTGAGAAACACGCCCTGCGCGATTCCCTGCCTCCGGCGCACAGTGCTCCCTGCAGGCGGGCCCGGCCGTGCGCACCTGCTCCTGGCAGAGTGCTCCCTGCAAGGGGGCCCGGTCTCGTGCCCCTGCCCGTGTTCCCTGCAAGCGGGCACGGCCGTGCGCCCCTGCCCCTAGCACAGTGCTCCCTGCAGGCGGGCCCGGCCGTGCACCCCAGCTCCTGGCACAGTGCTCCCTGCAAGCGAGCCCGGTCTTGCGCCCTTGCCCCTGGTGCACAGTGCTCCCTGCAAGCGGGTCCAGTCTTGCGCCCCTGCCCCCGGCGCACAGTGCTTCCTGCACGTGGGCCCGGCCGTGCGCACCTGATACTGGCACAGTGCTCCTTGCAAGCGGGTCCAGTCTAGCGCCCCTGGCACACAGTGCTCCCTGCAAGCGGGTCCAGTCTTGCGCCCCTGCCCCCGGCGCACAGTGCTCCCTGCTGGCGGGCCCAGCCGTGCGCACCTGCTCCTGGCACAGTGCTCCCTGCAAGGGGGCCCGGTCTAGTGCCCCTGCCCCCGGCGCACAGTGCTCCCTGCAGGCGGGCCTTGCCATGCGCCCCAGCTCCTGGCACAGTGCTCCCTGCAAGGGGGCCCGGTCTCATGCCCCTGCCCCTGCCACAGTGTTCCCTGCAAGCGGGCACGGCCGTGTGCCCCTGCCCCCGGCGCATAGTGCTCCCTGCTGGCGGGCCCAGCCGTGCGCACCTGCTCCTGGCACAGTGCTCCCTGCAAGCGGGTCCAGTCTTGCGGCCCTGCCCCCGGTGCACAGTGCTCCCTGTAGACAGGCCTGGCCGTGCGCCCCTGCCCCTGGCACAGTGCTCCCTGCTAGCTGGCCCGGACATGCGCCCCTGCCCCCGGCGCACAGTGCTCCCTGCTGGCGGGCCCAGCCGTGCGCACCTGCTCCTGGCACAGTGCTCCCTGCAAGGGGGCCCGGTCTAGTGCCCCTGCCCCCGGCGCACAGTGCTCCCTGCAGGCGGGCCTTGCCATGCGCCCCAGCTCCTGGCACAGTGCTCCCTGCAAGCGAGCCCGGTCTTGCGCTCTTGCCCCCGGCGCACAGTGCTCCCTGCTAGCGGACCCGGCCGTGCGCCCCTGCTCCTGGCGCACAGTGCTCCCTGCAGGCGGACTCGGGGGCCGGCCGCAACGCCCCTCCCCGCCCGGGCGCGCACTGTGACGCGGGGGGGGGGGTCCCCGAGGCCCGAGAGGGCACGGGGCGGGGGGGCCGGGCCCTGCGCCAGGCGCGCGCGACGACCGCCCCCCTCCCCCTCCCCACCCAGGAGCGGCGCATGCGCCAACAAAGCGGCGCGGCGCGCGCGGGGGGCGGGGCCTGGCGACGCCGGGACCGCGAGACGAGACTTGGCGGGGCGCAGGCGCACGACGGACGGCCGCCACGCCCCGCCCCCTCCCGCCGCCGCCGCCGCCGCCCCGACCTCTCGCGCGCGCCGACGGACGCTCGCGAGACTTGGGCGCGCCGGCGCGGCCGCTTCCGGTCGCGGGCCGGAAGTGCGGGGCGCGCGCGGCTGCTCCCGGGCTGGCGGGGCCGGGCCGGGCGCTGGTGGGCGCGGCGGGCATGGGGGACGCCAAGGGGGCCGGGGCCGGGGCCGGGGCGCGAGGCGGGCTCGGGCTGCTGGCCCAGGGCGAGGCCGACGACGCGAACGCCCAGGTGAGCGCGCCCGTCGCGGGCTGGGGCGGGCCCGGCCGCGGCTGCCCTCGGGGGCGGCGCCCGGGGGTCGGCGGGCGGGGCGGGGCGGGGCGGGGCGGGGGCTTGGCCCGGAGGTGCCCCTCCAGCCCCGGGGGTTGGGGGGCTGCAGGGCCAGGGAGCGAGCGGGGCGCGCCCGTGCCTGCAGGTTGCAGGCTCGGGAGGCTGGTGCACCCCAAGGCCCCGCAGTTGGGTCTTGGGGGGCTGTCTAAAGGGGTCGGGGGATGGAGATGGACCTGCAGGTGCAGGTGCAGGTGCAGGGGGCTACCAGGGACCTCAGCAGCGTTTGCAGTTAGTTGACACGACGCTCTGATCCCCCCTACCCCCCGCCCCCCCCGGGGCCCTTCTCCCCTGTCTGTGGTCAGCGAGTGCCCAGGTGCTTCTTGGTGCTGCCCTGCTTCGTGCCCGGGCTTGCCTGTCATTAGGTGGACAGGACCCAGGAAGGGCCCTTTCCGCTTGCAGTTACTGGGCGCTGCACCCAGGCGCTGATTGGCGGCAGAGGGGGTCGCCTTGGGGTGGCTGGGAGTTTGTGGGGGGCCGGTTCCCGAATTGCCGCCCAGGTGACCCTGGCCTCCCGTGTCTGTCCCTCAGGGGTCGGCCCTGCTGCTGGGGGGCAACGAAGTGAAGAGCCGGGCCGTGGTGAAGTATTCCTCGGCTCCTCCCCGAGCGGCCTTCGCGCGCCTGGAGGAGAAAACGGACTTGAAACTCCCACCTGCCAACTGGCTGCGGGAGAGCGCCAAGCTGGGCCCGGCCGGAACCACCATCCTCGGCAACAGCAAGAAAAGCAAGCCCTTCTCCAGGTGGGTGGACGCCGCGGGGGCCCCTAACCGTCCCTGGGCTGGGCCCCCGCTGTTGGAGGGTGATGAAGTCACCCTCGCCCAGATGCCTCGGTAGAAACCATCAGGTTGGGCGTCCGGTGTCTCCCTGCCCCCTCGATGATAGGGCTTGGATGTGGAATGCAGTTGCACCGGCTGCTTTTCTGCCCGCGTCGCGCTGTCAGCCACATGCTGAGTCGGCCCTGCTAAGGCTGGGTCATCTGTTTGGGTTTCATTCGGTTTTCCTTTGGAGTGTGCAGATGAAAGAAGCGGGGTGGCCCTTGGGGAGAAAAATCCTCCGTGCTGCCTGCATTCTTCCCCCTGTCCTGCGGAGCTGTCCAGTATGTGGTTTGGGGCTGTCTCGTCTGGACAGGCCTCATGGAGAAGCCCAGCTGGCTGGGTGACCTGTCCCCCGCGACTCTGATGCTTGCTGGGAACTCTACAGTTGCTGTTGGAAGCCGATGGCGTGAACTGGGTCTGACAGAGAAAAACGGTCCGAGCTCCATGGACCACTTACTGGGTGGGGGATCACTTTTTTTTTCCCTCTCAGTGATTGACCCTTGACAGTTAATATCTTGGATTTTTTTGGTGTTTTTTTTTTTTTTTTTTTTTTTTTTTTTGCTTTTTGGGTCACACCCGGCGATGCTCAGGGGTTCCTCCTGGCTCATGCACTCAGGAATTGCTCCTGGCGGTGCTCGGGGGACCATATGGGATGCTGGGAATCGAACCCGTGTCGGGCATGTTGGCTGCGTGCAAAGCAAACGCCCTACCCGCTGTGCTATCGCTCCAGCCCCGACAGTTAATATCTTAAGTGGGTAGTTTTGAGATCAACCTAGCCCTCTGCAGGTTAAAAATATCCTATGTTTCTACTGGCACCAAGTTGAATGTAGCTCAGCTTCCTCCTTTCTGAAAAATGGATTCATCAGACCTGAGCACCGTGAGATGATGAACGGTGATTTAAATGAAAACTGAAGCTCAGAAAGATCGGGTAACTTACTCGGCCAGCGTTCCTCAACTTCCGGGCACCTGTGGACCCACACCTGGTCTACAGATGGTCCCTTAGAACCATAGTGGCAAACCCGTGGGCGGTCTCTAACCTTTCACACCTGCTGAGTCTTGGGCTCCCTGCTCTGCGATGAGGCCAGCCGAGGTCAGGGCCCTGCTCTGATTGCCTGGAAAATGGGGCGTCTGTTGCTTTCCAGGCCCCCGGGGTCCTGCTGCGGCTGCCTGTTCACTCTGTTCTTTCCATCTTCTGGCCAAACTGCTGTCTGATGCGTTTTTTTTTATTATGTTTTTAAAAAGACGTGCCATATATCACACTGACTCAATCCTAGACACTGATATTGAGTTGTTGGTCTCTGTTTTTCTTACCACTCTGTCCTAAAAGAATAGTTTGAATGTAATACTTTTTGTATTTTTCATCAAAGTGGTTTTGGTTACGTGGTAGACATAATTGTATATATTTTAATATATACAATTTAAAATTCAAGTTGTATGTATTAAAGATTTATATCTACTTTTAAATTTGTTAACTTAAAGGTAGATATAATCGTGTATATTTTAAATACTACTGATCGCTTCTGCTGAGTGTTCCTGTTGGGTCACTCTTTAAGATGTCATTGGCTGAGTACCACCATTGATATACCACGAAGAAGGAAAAGCTAGTCAACCAAGGGTGCCAGGCATCCCACTTCCACGGGTGTTAGAATGTGAACTCTGTGTCCTGGAAGCAGCAGATACGGCAGAAAAACTCTTCCTGTGTCATTTACGTGACCTTTACCCCCTGCCCTTGTCTCCCTGGTAGCTTTGGCATGGCGTACGACTTTATCGATTCGGTAGGAAACGATGTCGACGTTGTCTCGGACTCCGAGGTAAGTGACTTTATTACTGTGGGAGGTAATTGGGCTGTCTGTGCCGGGATTTGTCGTGTTCCCTCTCCTGCGGTCTGGAAAACGTAGGAACGGCGTGGAGCGGCGTGCACGTGACTCGTGGCCACATCTCCCTCCAGAGGGGGGCAGTGGGGTTGGTGAGAGCAGTTACAGCTGACCGTAGCGTGCGCGGTTACTTGGGGTTAATCGGTTGAGAGTTGGAAAGGTATTTCCAGTGAAATTCCTTGCTTGCTGGTGGGTTTGTGTTGCAGTAGTGTCACCTAGATGCACCCAACGTTAGGGAAGTTATGCAGATGCAAAGAAGTGGGTGATCATGTGTCACGAAAGTAGCTGGCTCGTTTTGAAGCCCAGCCTTGCTTGGGTTTGTATTGTGTGTGTGTGTAGTTTGTCTTGGAATATTAGGGGAAGAAGTTGTGGAGATTCAAGGTTACGGTCAGAAGGGCTCCACGTCACACGAAAAGGTCTAAGCTGGCTCTCCTCCTCCCTCAGAACATTAAGAAGCTCCTGAAGATCCCCTACAGCAAGTCGCACGTGAGCATGGCCGTGCACCGCATCGGGCGGACGCTCTTGCTGGACGAGCTGGACATTCAGGAGCTCTTCATGAGATCCTCACAGGTAACTCTCGGGGATCAGAAACGGGATTTTTGTCTCTGAAAAGGGCAGAGATGTCCTTGGATAAGCTCTCTGATGGGGGGGCGAACCTTCTTCCATTGAAACCTATTGCTCAGATCTTTGTTAGAAAAGGAGACAGTGAAGAACGTTGTGACGCTAAAGAATCTGAATGTTTGCAAACTCCTGGGACATTGCCCTTAAAGAGATTCTCAGGCACCCCGGGGCTACGAGGCCCTAGAGAAAAATGTTACAAGTTCTCCCCGTGAATGAATACATTGTTACTAGGAGAATTAATTGGGTCCTTTAAAGCAGGAGTTTCCGAACTTGAACTGTAGGTTGGCTGACAACTGTTTCCCCTTCACTGCTGAGAGGGATACTTCCTGCAAAATGCAGTTGCTCTGCGTTATGTCAGGGCCGCTCTCCTGTCCTTGTCCAGGACTGGTCACAAAGGATGTTAGAGGAGGAGGGGAATGAGGTGGTCTTTAGTACTGGAAACAAAAGGTGCCCACTGAGACACAGCTGCTGCCGTCACCAGGGCGCAGGCCGTGGTTGGTGACGGCCAGTGGGTCTCGCTCCTCGCTCCCGGCAGCTCCCTCGAGGGTCTAGCCCTGTCTGCGGGCGATGGTGTGCAGTGGGTCGTGGGACTAACGTAATGGCGGACACTGAGGAGCGTGGCACGAAGAAACGTCCCCTCCCAGCCCGGCTCAGGGAGGGCAGCGCCCCCTTCCATAAATCAGGGCCAGGAGTTTGGGCTAGCGAGTCTTCTCTGAGCGTGCGCGTGCGGCGCAGGACACCAGCGCGCTTCCTGCCAGAATGCAGGAGAGCGGGAGCTCTGACAGCGCGGTCTGTCTGCTTTGTGCTTCAGACCGGCGACTGGACGTGGCTCAAGGAGTTCTACCAGAGGCTCATTGACCAGAAGTGGCAGAGGAAGAAGAAGAGCAAGGAGCACTGGTACCAGAAGGCCATTCTGTCCAAGTTCTTGTACTACAGGTACCTGGCTGCTTGTTGCTCTGTGTTTGAAGGGGAAAGCCGACATCCTGGCCTGAGCGCTCATCCGGTGCGGGTGAGGGTGGCCTGGCCCCTCCGGCTCCGTGGACGTGGGCTTCACGAAGCTCCTTTCTCACGAGGCGCGTGACCGCACAGCCCGCTTTCAGGAGCCTGTAGAGTGCTGAACGCAGCTCCAGTTATCTTTGGCCTGGGGAGCCACGCCCAGCAGTGCCCAGGGCCGGGGGAACCCCGCGGGGGGCCGGGGATGGGACCCGCGTTGGCTGCGTGCAAGGCAAACGCCGTGCCCGCTGTCCTGTCGCTCCGGCCCGTAGGTTGTCTTTAGTGACGCCTGTGTTCTGTCTGACCTGGCCAGCATCAACGGCGATGGAGCTGCTCAGCCCGTGCCGTCCGCCGAACCGCAGGAACCGTCCAGCTCCGACCAGGCCCACGACGCGGACGGGGCCTCCTGGCCCGCCCCGTTTGAGATGCCGCCCTCCGTGTCCGAGGACCCCAGTGCTCCCAGTCAGGTCAGTCCCCGCCGAGGTGCTCGTCCCGTCTCCCCGCTCCCAAGGACACCTGCGTACCTTGCTTTGGGCCGCACCCGGTGGTGCTCGGGGTTCACTCCTGGCTCTGGGCTCAGGGATCACACCTGGTGGTGCTCGGGAGAACCACATGGAATGCCAGGGATCGAACCCGAGTCAGCTGTGTGCAAGACTCTTAAGAGCCTTAACCGCTGTAGTATCACTCTGGCCCTGCATTCAGTGCCTTGTTAATCAACAGAGTCACTGATTTGGTTTAGCCTCTTCAAAATAGATGAACCACAGTGAAAAATGTTCTGTCCATTCATATCTCTCAGAAAATCTACTTTGAGGTTTTTCAGAGTTGAATTTACAGGGTATTACTTATAGCTTCTTTGCCAGTACTTAAAATCGCTTACAAGATTTTCTTGTTTAGGCGTCAGACACGGCGGTGCTCAGGACTTAGGTCGTTCCTGGTGGGCGTGGGGGGGGACCATATGGGGTGCTGGAGATTGAGTCCGGGTCAGCTACTTGCAAGGCAAGCGCCCTCCCCACGCTATACGATAGGTCTGGCCCCCGGCTTAGAAATACTTTTACTGTTATAACGGCCTGAAGGTCAAGAGAGAGTTACTTAGTCTAGTGACGGTGGGACATTGTGCAGCTCTGGGTGTTCAGTTGAAGGTGTGTCGTCACGACTCGGGCCTCCGGTAGTTCAGTGGATCCTTGTCGGGGTTAGGCCAGAAATAGCTCCGAGGTTTCCTGGGTGAAGCTCCGGAACCCTGCCCGTGTTGAGCGTCGGGAAGGAAGCGTGAGGAGCGTCCGTTGTCCGTTTTGCCTCTCCTGTCTCTGTTTCTCGTCGCTGAGCTCTGTCCTGAGCGTGTCTCAGGGAACAGACTGCTCACAGGTGCGGACCATCGTGTCTGCCTTCAGGGCAAAGCGTGACAAAATGAAGAATAAGATCTTCCAGGCCCTGGGAGAGAGCTCGTGGCTTAAGGCACTTGCCCAGCCAGCGCCAGGGCGTGAGTTAAATGCCCCGGGAGAGAGGCCAGGAGCTGCCGGGGCGGCCGGACCCTGCTGGCGCCTCACGTGTGGCCCCACGTGCCAGGAGTGCCCGTGAGGAAAAGGCTGAGGAGTTTTGGCTTGGTGTCTGGGGTTCCTCCTCTTGCTTGATGTGCTCAGACTTAAGACATTCAGCTTCATAGTTCTTGTTACCCCAAATCCTAATTCGAAGAAGCCCACAAATGAATGTGAGTTTGGGCCTAGGTTTTTCTCTAGAGAGACCTCTTTAAAAAATTTGAGAAATCCAAATTTCATCAAAGTTGGGGACACGAATGGAAGAGGAAGGTGGGAACGGTCTGAGGGCCCTCGGAGCCAACCCGGCCGGGCATGGGACCGTATTGAAGGGGTCAGTGCAGCTCTGCCAAGGGTGGTCCTGGGCATTTTGCTTTTTATCACTCATCATTCAGCTTTGTTGTTTGTGCTTCGCTGAATGTGATTCTGTTTCAGCAAAAGATTTTTTTTAAGGACTTAATATAGTATTCCTCATCTCCAAAACCCACGTCGAACAAGAGCCCGTATAGTGGGAATCCTGGTCTCGTCCCAGCTCCCTCACACTCCTGCAGCAGTTTCCATTCTGTTCGTAGGAGTCGTCAGGAGAAACCTGGCAGCTTTGAGACTCTAGGCTTGATGGAGGAGGCAGTGAGCTGGCACCCGCGCTGTGGGTGTGCGTGACAGGATGGTTCTGCATTCCTGGACCTGACTGTTCTAAGTATCGATTTCCAAATAACTTCATTATTTTTAAATTTGTTTTTGTAAGGTTGTCATGACTTACTACGTTCAGTGTTCCAACGCCACTCCCACCACCCGAGCCGCTTCGCACCACCCACTGTACTATTATACTCTGGCCCCCCCCCCAAAAAAATTATTTCCAGTTTTCTTGACCACCCCTCAAGCCTGTCCCTTTGGCAAGCCCTGAATAATTTGTTTTATATTGCTTGTTTTAATTTTCTAAAAGTGATCAAAAAATGTTTCCTTAGAAGGTGTGTGACTGTTGTTGGTTCACCGCAGCCGTTAAGCCCTGGGGGAAGAGATTAGCAGCCTGCCCTTATCCGCGGCTGAGCCTGGTGTGTTGCCGGTTCCCTAACCGAGGTCTGTGCTTCTGCCCTGTTGCTCCTCCTCCTTCCTCAGTGCCGCAGGGTCTGAGATGCTGCAGGGACTCCGGAATTCACAGCGGACTCTAAAGCCCCCCACAGGGAATGTCTCTTCCTGTCACATCTGAGCTTCTAGTCCAGACGTGGCCCTCTCTGTCATGAGCCCGTTCCCACAGCATTCGCATTCCTCAGTGTCGTGTGTTCCAATGTCCAGGGGACCGGGGCGCTCCTTCTGGCAAGACGCGGCCGACTGAGTTGACGGGGGTTGGGGGGGCGCGGGCACGTGATGCCAGGGGTCCCTTTGGGACTGTCGGAGTCCTGACTGGCTTCGTGGCCGACAGTCAGTGCGTAAGCGTTGTCGGGTAGCCTGGGTGGTCGCCAGAATACTGAGGCCCATCTCTGATCGCAGGGACACTGGTCTCCAGGCCGTCATCCTGCGCTGTCTGTATCCGCCCTGGCCAGTTAGGCTGAGGGTCCGGTGTCCATCCTCTCCAGGCGCTCCTTCCCTCTTCGCCCCTTCCTCCTCACCACTGTTCTATGCTCATCTAGAAGTTCATTTTTATGTTCTTTATTCACTCACGCTTACACATCGTTTTACCTAGTGTAATCTACGTACAAACAAAAACACTGTCCTCCCGTTGTTCATCGATTTGCTCGAGCAGGCCCAGTAACGTCTCCATCGTGAGACTTGTTGTGACTGTTTTTTTGGCATATCGAATACACCACGGGGAGCTTGCCAGGCTCTGTTGTGCGGGCGGGGTACCCTTAGTAGCTTGCCGGGCTCTCTGAGAGGGGCGGAGGAATCGAACCCGGCTCGGCTGGGCTGGCTACGCACAAGACAAACGCCCTGCCGCTGTGCTATCACTCCAGCCCCGTAATCTACGTAAGACCCTTCAAATAATGAGCAAGAAGTTCTTTCTTTTGTCCCCTTTTTTGAGTTTTAGGTCACACCCAGCTATGCTCAGGGTATAGTGTTGGCCCAGCGCTCCGAAGTTGCTCCTGGCGGGGCTCAGAGGAGCGTGTGGGGTCCCAGGGGTGGAAGCCGGGCCGGCTGCGTGTGCGGCCAACGCCCTACCTGCTGTGCTGTGGCTCCGGCCCCGAGAAGAGCATCGACGCTGCCTAAATTTCAGCATTGCAGGTCTTTGTTTTTGGCTGTCACCTCCTGAATTCTTGTTTCCAAAACTGCTTTCGAGGCCCCGCGTGACGCGCCGAGAGTCAGAGAAGGCGACTCTGGCCCCGAGACGCAGGCCTCACGAGGAGCACTGCCTTCGCCCAGACGAGTAGCTGCATGCGGCTCAGGTTCCGTGTGGAGAAGGCGCGATGGTGCCGCCCGCCTGCCCTTCCTCCCCCCACTGGGGTCACAGGCACTGCTTCAGGGACGGATGGCGAGGCGTGAGCAGCAGGGTGGGCCCTTGGAATGTGCGAGCCACGCACGCCTCCTGGGCTTGAACCCAAGGGTGCAAGCCTGCACGATTGGGAAAGGAAGAGACAGGCGGAAGCTGCCCCAGGCCAGAGGGTCTCCTGACGGGTGACCCTCACCTGTGGGGTCAGGCGATAGAACAGTGGGGAGGGCGCTTGCCTCGCGTGCAGCCGACGTGGGCTCTGTCCCTAGCCTCCCATGTGGTCCCCTGAGCACTGCCGGGTGTGACCCCAGTCTGGAACCAGGACCAGTGCTCCGAAGTGGATCCTGAGCGCTTTGGCTTCCCCCGCAAGATCGGTCGTTCTCCCCGCCAGTCCCCGACCCTGGGGGGCCTCCGGTGTGGAGTCAGCGTTTCTCGCAGTCTGGGGCTGACTGGGGCATGAACCCCACCTCAGAGAGAGGACGCAGTGTGACTGCGGGAGCCCCGAGGGTTCTCGCCCAGAGCCATGGGTTCCAGAGTCGTCTGCAGAAGGGGGGTCACGCCCCCCAGTCTTCCCTCAGAGTAGTCTCGGTTTGTTGAGCCTCTGGCTTTGACCCCACAGGGCTGACGGCATCCCAGGGCCAAGACTCGGCGCTCTGTGCTCGCAGGGCTAACGGCAGAGGTTCAGTGCTGACGCTTGGCGCCCTGTGCTCGCAGGGCTGATGGCAGCCTCCCAGTGCCGGGACCCGGTACCCTGCACTCGTCCTCGCTGCCAGGGTGGGCTGTAGGAGCGCCCGGAGCATTTGGGTGCTGCCCGCCGAGGTCGGCCCCGGGAGGGAACAGTGGCAGCAGAATCACGCCGTGTCCTTGCCCTCCGCAGGAAAGGGAGCCTCTCGAGCCCTCATACATAGTGGGCCATGTGGCCTCAGCAGCCCAAGAACAAAACCTCACTCCTCTGTTCAATGACGGGGAGAACAGTCAGGTATGCTCCCCAGCCAGGCCAGGCGGGCACCGGCCCCGGCCCCGGGCCCGGAGTGTGTAGGGAAGCCCAGCCCGCACCGCCTCCCGCCCCCCGGGCATCGGGCCCGTGGCTGCTGTCACCTTTGTCTTCTCTTTCTGGCTTTCCGTGGGCTGTGGGTGGACGTCGCCATGACCTGTACGTCCTGTGATGCTGTTGTCTCTATCTTCAATCGAAGGGCCTTAAAAATGATTTTGTTCGCAACATTCTCTGGACCTTTGAAGACATCCACATGCTCGTGGGCTCCAACATGCCAATCTTCGGGGGCGGCAGGTACCCGGCCGTCAGCCTGCGGCTCAGGTAAGCGGCCTCTCCTTCTGGCCACGGCCCACCTGCTGGTTCTCTCCCGTCAGGCTGTGTCCCCACCCTCAAGGTGTCCCTTTGCCGTCAGCAATTGCCAAGAGCCCCGTCCCGTGCTGGCCTGTGTGAACGGAGAGCCCTGGGGGGCGGTGGGGGCGGATCGGTCCCCAGGGTCGCAGCGCCCGGCTTCTGTCAGCTGTCGGGAAGGAGGCTGAGCACCTGGCCAGGGCCCTCGAGCCCAGGAGGCAAGACTGGGGCTCTGCTGCCAGTGCTCCTCTCCAGAAGAACAAGAACACACGTGGCATTTCCCATCTCGGGGGGAAGATTGACGGAGGACGCAAAGCCTTCGTTACGCTGGCCGTTATGTTTTCAGGGACAACAACAAGCCGATTAATGTGCTCACGGGAATTGACTATTGGTTGGACAACCTGATATGCAACGTTCCGGAGCTCGTCATGTGTTTCCACGTGAACGGCATCGTGCAGGTAGGGGCCTTTCTGGTGACGGCTACGCTGGAAGCCGCGTAAGCACCTCTCCCGAGTTCCCAGGGCTCCTAAGTACACAGGTGTGTCTTTGGGAGGGAAGAGAACCGTGAGCCAGCTAAAATTTGAAACATGCAAGTTGATGATGCCAGAATTTTGCATGTTCCAGGAGTAGAGTTTTAATAGGTAATTTGTAGGAAGTTATAAACATACTTGTCATAAAGTTACATGAATAGTCATAGATTTTTAATGCCAAGCACTCATTATCCAAGTAATGACCTGGAGATGCTTGTATAAACGGGTATTTATTTAGTATACAAATACCTGCTACGTGCACACGAGGGAAGTAGCGCCGTGACAGTCACAGAGGTAAAAAGTGACGGACCTATTTGTCCTAGCGCCTGCGAGGCACTTGGGTGCCGTATAACACGGGGGTGGAAACAGTCAGGTCTGGTCGCTGCTTCAAAAGCCGTTAAACAGGAGGGAGTGAGGATCAGAGAGGCCAGGGAGCTTGTGATTCTTCGCAAAGGAGTGTGTGTGTGTGTGTGCGTGCACACGCACCCGTGCAAGATCACTTCCAATCTGACCCGGCACACACGCACGTGATCACTTCCAGTCTGACCCGAGAGCACTCTGGAGAGGTCGTCTTCGGATCTTGAGTGCCAGGCCACACCTTGAAAAATGGGAGTTGGGTTTCTGCAGATGAGTAAGTGAGGGACCCGTCGATCCGGTCAGTTTGGGAGCACAGCATTCGTGTGGAGAGCTGTGTCAGGGCGGATGAGGTGTCTCGCCCGCTAAGGAGTCTGAACTTGTTTGGCTGGTTCGAGGGGACCCACAGACTGGCGCCTGCAGGTGGCATGTGGCATGTTGACAAGTGTGTGTGTGTGTGTGTGTGTGTGTGTGTGTGTCCCCGGAAATCTGTTAAAATCAGACCCTGAGGGGCCGAACCGTCGGACAGCGACATGGTCTCCCAGCCCCTGTGCTCACACACCAGGTGTGACCCCAAAAGCCAAAAATGGTCATTGGTGCTCTTGCCCTTGTGAGTGAGAAGGAAGAGACATGGGACTTGGCGAAAGGGACCATGACCAGGTGTCGGGGGTGCTTTAAAGAAGGGACCTGATCCAGGGCTCTAGATGAACAGAAACGGGTGGAAACTGCCGGAGGAGACTGTACTTTGTCTTACTTTACAAAATGCTGGGGGCTTCTGGCATGGGAAGATTAGAGAAAATGCAGGAGGAGGCAGTTAGGTGCGGAGGCCGGAGGCTGCCAGGGCAGGTGCGAGGACGTGGGTGTGGTGGCTGTGGTGCTCCCAGCTGCTCCTCTCCACTGGGCTGCAGTGCTCTGTCCCGGCCAGGAGAAACTTCCAGGCAGGCATTGTGATGTGTGGAGAGAGAAAGGGCCCTAGTGGTGCATTGAAATGTTAGTTGGTCGGGCATGACCTTCCTCAGCCGTCTCCTGGCTGAAACCATGCAAGCATGTTCTATTCAGTTTGCTCCACAGTCAGTCAGAAACTGGGCTCATTAGACTCTGGAATCAGAAATCTGGGGGCAGCTGGTTCCCGGAAATCTCTGTTTCTCGAAACGGGCTCATCGGGGCTGGCGGCTTCGCATCCTGGGACCTGGGGCCGGGAGACGCCAAGTCCCCTCACCTGCCCACTCTCGCCACAGAAGTACGAGATGATAAAGACGGAAGAGATTCCCAATCTGGAAAACTCGAATTTCTCTACGAAAGTCATCAAAGACATTGCGCAGAATATTCTGTCCTTCCTAAAGTCCAACTGCACCAAGGAAGGACACACCTATTGGCTGTTCAAAGGTGAGTTCACCTGGGGTGCTGGGCCGAGGGGCGGGGTGGGGGGGGGGGCGCAGGAAACTGAGCCGCTTTGTCTTTGCAGCGAGTGGCAGCGACATTGTGAAGCTCTATGACCTCACCACGCTCTGCGAAGAGACCGAGGACAAGTACCAGAACCCTTTCACCATGCCTGTGGCGATTCTCCTGTACAAGTGAGTCCCCACAGGACTCAGTGGTGGGGGGGGTGCGCCTTGTGTGGGCGGTTTCCGCTCTGGCACCCACAGTGCCTGGATCACACCCCTGAGAGAAAGTCGTAGACTGATTTAACGCCAGGTGTCAGCGTTTCCCAGAGCCGCACCCCAGGGCCGAGGGGAATGCAGCGGGGTGTGCTCTGTTGGTTTAAGAAGGCATGTTTCAGTGTGGAGTCGTAAGATTTTTTTTTTTTTCGTGGAAAGGGGACAACCAAATAAGTTAGAGACCCTCTTAGGTAGGGCAGTGCCATCCAAGCCAGGAATTTGAAATACCTTCTTAGGTTTGTAGGGTTTATTTACTTTATTCATTGAGATACCGAGATTTACAATACTGGTGATTTTTTTTTTTTAATGTACTCATTCCAACAATATTGTCATAGTCTAGAAAGCTCATGTGGGGCTGGAGCGGAAGCATAGTGGGTAGGGCGTTTGCCTTGCATGCGGCCGACCCGGGTTCAATTCCCAGCATCCCATACTCAGTTCCCCTGAGCACTGCCGGGAGTAACCCCTGTGCATCACCAGGTGTGACCCAAAAAGCAAAAAAAAAAAAAAAAAAAAAGTATGTGTGTGATCAAAGTAAACTCCGGGGGTGTGCAAAAATACAGTTTCCGTTGTTTTTGATGAGTGGGGGTGGGTTCCTCCTAGTGGTACGCAGGGGGCTGTGTGCTGGGGGTTGAACCCAGGCCCTGGGCACCGTGCAGCAGCCTCGTGGGCTCTGTCAGGCTGTTCCTTGTATTCTCGCACGTCATGAACACGAAAATCTTGGTTTCAGGGTCGCCTGCAACATGATGATGAAGAAGAATCAGAACAAGAAACACTACGGGACTATCCGAACGTTGCTGCTTAACTGCGTCAAGTTGCTGGACAAAAGCCGGCATCCCCAGGTAAGCGGGTGCCGCTCTGCGCTCCGTGCACGCAGTGTAGCGGAGGAACATTTTCAGGGGCTGGAGAGAGTACAGCGGGGAAGGCATCTACCTGGTACGCGCGCGGCCGACCTGGGTTGATGACCTGCACTCCATGGAATCGTTCCCCTACCCCACCCCCCGAGTACCTCTAGGGGTGAGTCCCAAACACAGAGCCAGGAGTGAGTCCTGTGCACAGAGCCAGGAGTGATCCTGAGCACAGAGCCGGGAGTGATCCCTGAGCACAGAGCTGGAGGAGAGCCCTGAGCACTGCCACGTGTGGCTTAGAGGGGTGACTTGCGCGACCCATGCTGGGGGGAGTGTTTGTTCATCTGCAAATTTAGATCCCATTTGGTCAAGCACCGTTAAAGCAGTGCAGTGCTCAATCTTGGCTTGAAAAGCTTTTTAAACTATTTTGTCGTGTCTTTAAAAAAAATGTTCACGCAGATACATACATTTTATTAGTGGGAAACAGTGGAGGCTCATATGCCATCCGTTAGTGTACAAAAGCACCTCTTAAAATCGGCCGTTTGCCCAGTCTCACACCAGCCTCCTCAGTTGCACAACTTTGGAAGCCGCTTTTCGGTGATGCCTCTACTTGGATTCAGTTTGACTTACAAAAACTATGTAAAATCTGTCTCTTTTTGAAAAATACAAGTCGATATCATTGAAACCACGTCCAGTTTGGCGTTCTATCAGTGCTCTAGAGACAAAACCAAGAGAAAACATATCTTGAAGAAAAATGACAGCGGTATTTATATAATTGCTGGCTTGAGGTGGTGGTGCAAGTAGAAATTGGCAGGTTAATGCGAAAGCTGGAAAAATGACATTAAGATAATTGTGTGTGATTAATCACTTAAAGTAGGTTGGGGAAATAGCACTGCCAGTAGGATACCCCACATGGTCCCCCGAGCACCGTCAGGAGTAATTTCTGTGTACCGAGCCAGGAGTGACCCCTGAGCATGGCGGGGTGGTCCACAAAAAAATAGAATAATAAAAGAATGGCTTCAGTCATTGAGATAAATGGGAATCCCTGCTGATGGTAAGAAATACAGGACAGACTTTTCTCTCGGTGAGCTCCTGGGCCCTCCGCTGCAGGTCCAGGCCACGCAGTCGGCATTACCTGCCGATCAAAGGCGGTCTCTTAGAAGTCGTGCCCTTGTAAAGAGACAGTCCGACGTCCCCATTTGATGCGGTGTAATGTCTCAGTGGAAACTTGTCTTTGGCTTTAGTGAAATAGGCTGTTTTTCAGAGGGCGGGCCAGGTGGGTAGATTTCAGGAAATGGGGAAGAGGCAGTGTTGAGAACTGAGCTGGGCACGCGGGGGAAACTCCTGTTGGCAGGCAGACCCCGAGCCCTGGGAGCTAAACTCGTCCTTAGCTGGCACAGTGCGTCTGGATGAACATCACTTGCCCAGGTTGCTAAGCTTGTAGTGGCCAGCGCAGTGGAGTTGGGTGGACATCACTTGTCCGGGGAGCTAAGCTCACAGTAGCCAGCACGGTGCAGTTGGGTGGACATCACTTGACGGGGGGGTTAGGCTAGCGAGGTCGGTGCCTCTGGATGAACCGTCACTTACTCATCTTTTTCTCTTTTTCTTTTCATAAGATCATTGCTTCAGCCAATTACATGCTTTCAGAACTTTTTCAGTTGAACGAACCTAGAAAGGAAGAAAGCTCAGAGTCGTCTTTGAATGAGAATTCTGACGAAAGCTACAGCGAGGAGGAGGAGGAGATGCCGGACAGCGACGAGAACGGGGCCTACAGCACCAGCTCCGACCCCTCCGAGGATAACAAGGCCGTCGCCATCATTAAGTCTGTTGGGGAATTGTCAGTTCCAGAAAAGTACAAATCCATTCACCAGATCAGGGTGAGCTCGTGAAAGATCGTGTCGGGTTTCCTTCCCAAAGAACCTGTCGGGAACTCCAGTAGCGTCTCCGGAGGGCATCTCGGTAGCGGACCCCGGGCCGGGAGGAGCAGACGGGTCAGCCTCTCCTCCCCTCCTGGGACCAGCGTGTGGGTCCTCGATCCTCGCACGCCAGGCAGGAGAGCCTCACGCCTGCCTCCCGGCCCTCAGGGTTTCTGCAGGAGGGGGTTGGTTCATTGTCCTGCCACCAGCCCTTTTCTGTGGGCGTAGCTCTTTTCCAGTTTCCTGAATGATCACGGTCACTTTCTGATGCTCCCTGTCTGGATCAGGGCAGGTCCTACAAGGGTTCTAGGGATTCTGAGAGATGGGACAGCGCAGAGGGTGCTGGCCCTGCACGTGGCTCGTCCCCGTTCAATCTCCAGCATCTCAGCCGGTACCCTGAGCCCTGCCAGGAGAGATCCCCGAGCACAGAGCCAGGAGTGGCCCCTGAGCACTGCCAGGCGTGGCTCAGCCTCCGTCCGCCCCCAGCGAAGGGCTGGAGCCCTGCCTTGAATTCATTAGGCCCCAGACTCGCATTCCCCACCCCTCAGAGTCACTCGGCCTGGCCCTCGGGGCCCCCACCGCTGGGCCAGAGACTGCCTGGACCCCCATCACTGTTTGGGACTCCTCCCCTCGGAGAGTGAGTTTAAGTTGAAACGCTTGAAGTGGGGAATTCCCCTCTTCCTTTAAGCTCTGCGGGGACCGTGTGAATGCCGCTGCACCCAGGCGGGCGTCTGAGGCACCTCCAGCGCCGCCAGACTTAGACTCTGTGCCTGGTCTCGGAGGTCTTGACCTGGCTCGGAAACTCAGCTCCTCCGGGAGACGCTGGCACACGCCGGCTCGCCCCGTGTGTCCGGGCCATGGGAGCTGGGGAAAGGGCTCTTCAGTCAGCAGCTCCCCCTCCTGGTCCTGCAGTGCAGTGAGGCTGTTTCTCTGGTCGCAAGCAGGGCTGGCGACGTATGAAGATGTTACTCTGAACTTCTCTGTAACCTAAGGCCCCAGATTTCAGGGCTAATTCCAGGGTAATTAAACTGTGGGGTGTCAGTTCGTTCGTTTTCCCAGAAAACACTGCCTGATCTAAAGCACTGGGAAGTACCTTGTAACCATAGACACATCCGGAAGAGTCTGCCCTGTTGCTGGTGCTGGGGAAGAGCAGGAGAGTGGCCGGGCCTCCTCGCGGTCCTCACAGCCCCTTGACCTCTGTGCGTGCCATTAAGTGAGAGCAGTCATTCCCGCCCAGCACAAGGGCCCTTCTCGTCGCATCGGCACCTCGGTGGAGCCTGTGAACTGGTTTCCCTGCCGATAGCTCCTAATGTGATTCATACAACAAACACTGTCAGTAGTCCTAGCGTCGGGCTGAAAATAATTGATGCCAGTGGCGTCTGTCGGAACGGGTTGAACCAACTCACTTATTTGTTACCAGAGTATTTTAGGGATTGAGGGCGCGGTACGGAGAGCCTGTCCTTCCTGTCTGTCTTGCCTTGCATCGGATGACCCAGGCTCAGGCTCCAGTGCTGCCCGGGTCTGAGCCCACCAGGAGGGGCCCCTGGTACGGGGCATGGCGTCAGCCCTGAGTACCACGGGCTGTGGCCTCAGGGAAAACTGCGCCCCCCCCCCCCCAAGCGCTGCCCACAGCAGTGCTGGGGTTACGTGGGGCTGGGAAATGAGCCGGGTTTTGCAGGGGTGAGGGAGTCGTGCTCGGCATGTGTCTGGACCCACTGTTCTAGATCACAGATCATCTTATTATTCGTCGATTGCCTCGAGCAGGCCCCAGTAACGTCTCCTTCATCCTAGCCCTGAGGTTATATTCAAGGCTCTTTAGGAGAATGAGACCCATCATTGTTACTGGTATTTGGCATATTGGGTGCGCCACGGGGAGTTTGCCAGACTCTGCCGTGTGGGCAGGCTACATTCGGTAGCCTGCCAGTTTCTCAAAGTAGGAATGAGATGTCATAATTATAAGATGTCGCGCGGCCGCGAATGCGGAGTCACTGTAAAAGTTTTCATGACCAAAAACAACATGTATGCCAGGGGCTGGAGCGATAGCACAGCGGCTAGGGCGTTTGTCTTTGATTCCCAGCATCCCATATAGCCCCCTGAGCACCACCAGGAATAATTCCTGACTTCAGAGCTAAGAGTAACCCCTGAGCATCGCCAGGTGTGATCCAAAAAGCGAAAAAAAAAACAAAAGTATGCCAGAGGATGTGTTTGTTGAGTGATACTCTCGTAATGCTTGTATTACTCCTAACAGTGATGAAAGCTGTAGCAGTACCATCACTGAGCTGAGATGCACAAGCGAGTTAAGAGTGGTTTAGGGATTTCCGGGGACGAGGGCTGTGACATCGGTGGCTGTGGTGGCGCTGATCTGTGCGAACGTGTTTCTGCAGCCGAGCTGTGCGTTTCCGGTTTGCCACGACACGGAGGAGCGCTGCCGGCTGGTGCTGAGCTACGTTCTGGAGGTGAGCTCAGCCAGGGTCGGGATTGGGATTGGGATTGGGCCTGCTCGTGAGCCTCGCGGGTGGCTTTGGTAGCTAACGGTTTTCCCGAATGATGGCTGTGGGTTCTTTTCCTCCGAAGCGGGAGGTGAAAACTTAGTTTTCCAGCCTGTACAGATTTGGCGCGGTGTTTCCAGACTGCGCCGTGTTGAGTGGCGGCTGCTGCCTCGTATTCCAGTAGACTGCCCTTCAGTGCCGCCTCCCTTTCTGCGCAGGGATTAAAGTCCGTGGACAGCAGCATTAAAAAGGAGAGTGACCTTCCTGCCGCCGACCCCAGCACCCCCATCCCATTAAAGTATGAAGATGAGTCGGCCAGAGGGGGCCCCGAGGGCTTGGAGAAGCAGATGGCCTTGTTTCTGGACAAGAGTGAGTGGAATTGATGTGCAAATGAGGCCTTTTCTGCAGACTAATCTTCAGGATAATCAGACCAGATTTAGGTCTTGCCAGGCCCGGGTTGAAAAGCCTCTGAGGAAGGGGGGCACCTAGGGCTGGGGGCCGTGTGGGGGTCCTCCCAGCCCCTCCCAGGTGTTGGAGGAACTCAGCCCAAAGGCTCCTCCGGAAACCTCTGCTGGGTCGCTTTGTGAGCCTTGTTCAAGGGTTAAGTGGGCCCGAGGGGGCCAGTCAGAGGTGCCTTGCCCAGCCCAGCCCTCCCTGGGCCCCGTGACCTCGGGGCTTTCACTGGTGACTTCACTTACTCCTCAGGACCCTTCTAGGAAAAGGACTTTCATGTTGATTTTCAGCTTAAGTCATTTTTCGTTTCCTCACTGTCTCTCCCTGACCCCTTGAACGCGCACACACACACACACACACACACACACACACACAGTGTGGAAGCCCGTTTGTGTGTGCGAGTCTCCTGTCTCGTGTCCGTCCCGGGGCTGTGGTTGCTCTGAGCACTTGCCCCAGAGTCACACATGCAGACGGGCACACCACCCCCGCTGGCAATCCGGAGTGCAGAGGCACCAGAACTCAGCTAATTAACTGGCCCTCTCGGAGATGAGACAGAACCTTGTCGCGGCCAGAGGCTGCTGCTGGGCGGCGCTTCCAGTTCTGAGAAGCCGCGTCCTCTCCTGCACCCAGCTTCCCCGCACTCCCCAGGCCGTTTCTTTAAAAGTATTTTGCTTCACCAAAAAAAGGGAACCAGCTTGGTATGGGGCCTTCCCCTGCGTCCTGTGTCCCCTCTTGTGTTGGTGTCATGGGTCCGTCAGGTCTTTAGGGATGCCATGTCCCTCATCTTGCTGTCCACGCCGCAGCCCTCGGTTGTTAGCTGAGGAAGGTTGTCGTGGCCGCTGAGGGCGTCTCCGTGCTGGTGTGCCTGGGAGGTAGAGAACAGTGTGCGGACGCCGCAGGCAGCCCGTGGGCCCAGCCCAACTGAGAGGAGGCACAGGGCAGTGGCGGGCCCGCAGTGTGTGTGACCTGAGCATAGGGTTGCAGGGAAGCGGAGGGCCCCACAAGCCCACGGATGCTGTGGCCACGGCGGTCAGGCTCTGTTCTGGAACACTCCAGCTTCCAGTCTGGACTGTTGCCCGCTAGAAGCAGAAGTGGTGGTCTTTGGTTTTTGCTTGTTTTCGGGGTGACTTGGGCTCAGATAAACGCGCTGCCTTTCCCTGCCCCGTCGCAGTGGGCTCCCTGCAGAAGGGCCACTACTCCATCCAGTCCGGAATGATCCCCGGCTCTTGGCAGCACAAAATGAAACTCCAGCTGATTCTCAAGTCCTCCAAGGCCTACTACGTGCTGTCGGACGCGGCCATGAGTCTCCAGAAGTATGGCCGAGCGTTGCGATACATCAAATTGGCTTTGCAGAGCCACGGTGAGTCGCGGTGTGGGGCCTCCTGATGTCTGCTGGGGGTGGGGGAGCGGCACGGGCCCCCGAGGGAGGGCCGGGCAGATGGCCCGTCTCCCGGGAACTGCCGTCTCCACGCAGACTGCGAGCCGGGATTTCCGCCGGGTGGGTCGACCCCTCCCTGAAGCCGCTTGTCGCCCTGACAGCACAACTGGGCGTGGGTGCCGCGGGGGCAGGCCCTCCGAGTCCCGGTGGCCCTGACCTGTCCTGCGTCCCTCCCCCCGCAGACACGTACTGCTGCCTGTGCACCAACATGCTGTCGGAGGTGCTGCTGTTCCTCTCTCAGTACCTCACGCTCTGCGGCGACATCCAGCTCATGCTGGCCCAGAACGCCAGCAACCGGGCCGCGCACCTGGAGGAGTTCAACTACCAGACGAAGGAGGACCAGGAGATCCTGCACAGCCTCCACCGCGAGTCCAGCTGCCAGGGTGGGCGCCCGCCGGGCCCTGGCGGCGCGGGTCCGGGAGGGCGGCGGGAATCTTCGCCGGGTTTTGACGGTTGCTTGGTTTTCATCGATTGGCTGCTTTTCATTAGTTTAAATGTGCGCGTGTGTGTGTATGCCATGTTGCCGACACCGCCCAGGGCCTCACACGTGCATGGTGGGTGCTTCACCACTGGGCCACCTCCCCGGCCCTTGTTCCTTCATTTGGGAAAGAACATGATCCTGTCTGTGTGTCTGTGTGTGTGTGTGTTCTAGAATATTTTACTTAACTTTTTAAGGCCCAAGGAGCATGATTCTGTGGGTGTGTGTGTGGGTGTGTGTCTGTCTGTGGGTGTGTGTTCTAGAATATTTAACTTTTAAGGCCCAAGGAGCATGATCCTGTGTGTGGGTGTTCTAGAATTCTTTTTTTTTTTTTTTTAACTTTTAAAGCCCGAGGAGAGTTGTTCTGACATTTTGTTCACCTGAGGTTTTTGTCTGTAACCCTGTTAGCCCACCCAGGCTGTGCTTTTCTTTGGAACAGGCTAGTGGTGGATTGTCTTGGGCATGATTCCCAGAAGCAAATACTCAGACATCCTCTTTCAAATTCAGTTCCTAGCTGTCCGTCTAGCTTACTGACCGTCTCGCGTGTTTGGAGCTGCGTGGTTAGAATTCTGGGAACTAGGGAAAGGTAATCCCCGGTCTCGGAATCCCTCCCTCTTGGTGCAGTTACTTGAGCACCCGCAGTTACAGTAGCTGAGAGTAGCATCAGGGAATCGCTCTTCAGTTTCGGCATCCTAGAACTGTGAACGTGAAAAGAGGAGGAATGGTTTGTGGACGGACCACTAAGGCATCAAAGTGAAGAAAGTTACAGTAGTGTGTCCTGTGTTAAAATCGTATTGAAAATGGAAATCCCGTGTGGGCATATTGAGTATTCGGCCCACTTCGTTTCTGGCGGTGCGGCAGGGGCTCGGGCTGCTCCTGGCTCTGCTCCAGGTTCGCTCGGGCCAGCATCTCTGCCGCCCACGAGCCCCTGCTCACCCGGAGCCGCCGCTCCCACCAGAGTCGCCGTTTGCAGCGGGAACCTTCCGTGGCTAGGGACTGGGTGCTGTGAGCCCCAGATATGGCACGTGGGAAAAGTCTTACTGCAGAGACTTCTTTGCCTCTTTCTTCCACAACTTTTTCATTCCTCAAATTGTCCCGATCCAAGTGGTGCTGACTCAGATTGCCCGGAGACACGGTGTGGAATAGCCGCCTCTGCTGCCCCAGACGGGCATTTGAGAAGATGGTCCCCCGAGTGCTGCTGGCGCTACACCTGGTACCCCCACTCTGGTCCCGGGGGCGTGCTGCCCCTCAGCCAGTCCTGCTTGCGCTGACACGCTGTCCGACCAGACCCCTGGTGGCGAGCGGCTTTGTTTCAAGAACTAGGGGCAGTGATTCAGAAGGACAAGGGGCTTAAGGTGTTGGTATGAACAGCACCAGGTCTGTGCTCTGGGCCTGGGGATTGTCTCATACAGGCGAAAAAATACGACTTTTAACCAAACCAAGAGAATAAGAATTCTGTAAAGTGATCTTAACCTTGAAATTTAAAATATTGGTCGTTTTACAGGAATCTTAGTATGTTTATGCTTTGTTGTGTGTATTCTATTATTTTTATCCGAAATATCAGTTACGTAGATGCTAAGGAAGAATTCACCTCATTCTTGGATTTTTTTTTTCTACTTAAGGATTTGCGTGGGCCACTGATTTGTCTACAGACCTGGAAAGTCAGCTCTCCGTTAGTTGTAAATGTTACGAAGCTGCTAACGAAATCTTGCAATTCAGTGACTTGAAAAGCCAAAACCCCGAACAGTACGTCCAGATTCTGAAGCGGATGGGAAACATCCGGAATGAGATCGGCGTGTTCTACATGAACCAGGCGGCGGCGCTGCAGAGCGAGCGCGTGGGTGAGTCCCCGGAGCGTTGGTTTCCGTCAGTTGGCCTCGCGCTGGCTGGCACGCGGTTCAAGCTGAGGCCGGTGGCGCTGGGCTTCCTGGCATGGGAGTCGGTAGCAAACGGGAGCCCCCGTGGAAAACCCCCTCAGGAAAGAAGCACGGCCTGGGGTGGGCTGAAGCTTGGTGTGTCGTACCCCCTGCCCCGTCCTGAAGCGAGATCTGGACCCAGATTCTGAGCAGCACTTGAAGCGTTGATGCCGTGCAGGGCAGAGTGGGGCAAGGCGGGCGTGGAGCCTGGGAGACCCTGGCAGAGGGTAGCCTGCCGGGGTGGGCTGGGCTGCTGTGCAGGGCGTGAGCAGACGCTGCCCACACAGGGGCGGCATTGGGGAGCGCCTGAGATGGTACCAGCCCAGGGGGGTCAGAGGACAGTGGTCTTTGCGGACCCGGGGTGGGTGCTGAGCTCAGCTGGGCCCCTTCAGAATTGGAGGCGCCCGTGGGCGTGCAGAAGTCAGAGTTCACTGTCAAGAGTGCATAAAGCTGTCACGGAGTACCGGGAGCAGCCCGGAGCCGCGAGACGGGGACGCAGCCTGAGTCAGGATGAGCAGAGCCAGAGCTGAGGCTTCTCGGGGTCCGGGCAGCGGTGGGGGCAGAGCAGGGGGCCGCCTCACCCCCAGGGTCTCCAAAAAGTGCTCTGTGCTGAGGTTGATGGTTTGCCTTAAAGACAGCGGCTTAGAGGCCGGAGCGATAGGACAGCCTGACCCGGGATCCTGGTGCCTCACTTAGTTCCCTGAGCACTGCCTGGAGAGGAGTGAGGCCTGAGCACCGCTGGGTGTGGCCCGAAAGCAACGAAGACAATTTCGCCTACACTTGAAGAAAATTTAGTTTCGAATTTCACAAGTAATTACATGATGAGGGTTGGAGGGACAGTATAGCAGTAGGGCACTTGGTCAGTTACATGTCTCCAACCCGGGTTTGATCTCCGGCATCCCATGTGATCCACCAGCCCTGCTAGGAGTGAGTCCGGAGCACAGAGCCAGGAGTGAGCGCTGAGCACAGAACCGGGAGTCAGCCCTAAGTACAGAGCAAGGAGTGAGCCTTGAGCACAGAACCAGGAGTCAGCCCCGATCACAGAGCCGGGAGTCAGCCCTGAGCACAGAGCCGGGAGTCAGCCCCGAGCACAGAGCCGGGAGTCAGCCCCGATCACAGAGCCGGGAGTCAGCCCTGAGCACAGAGCCGGGAGTCAGCCCCGATCACAGAGCCGGGAGTCAGCCCTGAGCACAGAGCCGGGAGTCAGCCCCGAGCACAGAGCCGGGAGTCAGCCCTGAGCACAGAGCTGAGAGTCAGCCCCGAGCACAGAGCCGGGAGTCAGCCCCGCGTGCCGCTGTGTGGGCCCCGAGAAAGCCCCCGCGAAGCCCCCGCTGCGCACTCAGACCTCGGCCTGCGGCCCTGGCCGGGGGTCCCGGGCACGCGGCCCCACTCCGCCTGCTGGGCGGCGCGGGGCGGGAGAGGCCCCCCTGCCTGCCGCTTACACGGCTGTTTTCTCTTTTGTGCGAAGCGAGCAGAAGTGTGTCGGCCGCAGAGCAGCAGTTGTGGAAAAAAAGCTTTTCTTGCTTCGAAAAGGGGATCCACAACTTCGAGTCCATCGCCGACGCCGCCAACGCCGCGCTGCTGCTCTGCAACACGGGCCGGCTCATGCGGATCTGCGCGCAGGCGCACTGCGGCGCGGGCGGGCTGGAGCGCGAGTTCTCCCCGGAGGAGGGGCTCTACTACAACAAGGTGCCTGGGCCGGCCAGACCCGGGGTTTCCAGGCTGCTGGTCTTGGGAGTCGGTTTTCTTTAAAAAAAAAAAAATTAAAAATGTGTTTTAGAAGGGCTGGAGCCATAGCGGTGGGGGGCGGGGGCATTTGCCTTGCACGCGGCCAACCAGGGTTCGATTCCCAGCATCCCATAGGGTCCCCTGAGCGCCACCAGGAGTGATGATTCCTGAGTGCACGAACCAGGAGTAACCCCTGAGCTTCGCCAGGTGTGACCCCAAAAAAAGCAAAAAAAATAAAATTTAAGAATGTGCTTTAGCACCAAAGAGGGAAAGAACCCTGGTACGACCAGCCTCTGCCTTCCGTGCAGTAGGCCTGGGTTTGACCCAGCCCCGCCAGCAGGGGCCCCGAGCACAGAGCCGGGAGTCAGCTCTGAACACTGCCAGGTGCAGAGCCAGGGAGAGACGAGAGGGCGTGCCGGCTGCGGAGCCCGGGAAGATGGGGTGGCGGCAGCGGGGTGGGTCCCCCGCGCCCCCCTGGAGCTCAAACCCGTGTCTTCTCGGCAGGCCGTGGATTACTACCTGAAGGCGCTGCGGGCGCTGGGCAGCCGGGACGTGCACCCGGCCGTGTGGGACTCGGTGAACTGGGAGCTGTCCACCACCTACTTCACCATGGCCACCCTGCAGCAGGACTTCGCGCCCTTGTCCCGGAAGGCCCAGGAGCAGGTGCTGCTGCCCATCCCTGCCTGGGCGGGGGCGGGGGGGGGGGAGTCACTGAGGTGCTGAGGTGGCCGGAGGGACCGTGGTACTCACGACGGCTCCCCCCACCCCCCCCCTACCTACACACCCCCCTGCAGATCGAGAAGGAGGTCAGCGAGGCCATGCTGAAGTCTCTGAAGCACTGTGACGTGGACTCGACATCGGCGCGGCAGCCCCTGTGCCAGTACCGCGCTGCCACCATCCACCACCGGCTGGCCTCCATGTACCACAGCTGCCTGCGGAACCAGGTACTGGCGCCGGCCCGGCCCAGGCACGCGGTGCTGCCACTGTCCCGGGCTGCGCTCTGGCTCTGGGCCCTCGCCGTGGGTCGACCAGCCACAGCGTTCCTCGTTATGGGAGAGCCCGGTGCCCACGGAACATGCACCTGAGCTGTGTGGTAGTGGGTTGAGACCGGGTGGCCGTCTCGGGGATTTTCATAAATGCACCTGGGACAGTCTGTGAGCCTGTGTCGAACCGTCCCTGTGCCCCTGTGGGTGGGACGGTGGCCAGGCCTTGAGCGCTCTCCCTCCTCACCCCCTACAGTTACTGCCACCCTCGCCCTCTTGAACAGTGTCGTGTCAGGCCCGGTGCTGGACTTCACACACCAACAGTCAGCGGGATGTGGCCTCCTGTGGCCGCCCTCCCGGCTTCCTCGACCCCCGTCACTGTGACCCGCACTGCCCGGGGTCTGGTGCTTTGGGTTCCCTTCCTTAGCCCGGGACAGCTGTACTCTGGCTCCGGGGCTGGCCTTCCCGCTGATGGCCAGGGAGCTCCTTGGCTGGTGGTCAGCTCACGTCTGTGGTGGCTTTGCCCTCCACATCCCCTGGCCAGATGGACACCTCCAGGCAACTCTCGGGAGAGTTCCGCTGGGTCAGGACAGCGTCCTGACTGCAGTGTGGGGACTGCAGGACGCCCGAGGGGAGGGTGGGCGCTCCTCCCTCGCTGGGAACCAGTGAGCTGGAAAAGGAGTTCAAGACACACACGTGGGGGCTCTTGGACACACAGAAAAAGGGAACCGGAAGCGGCCAGGCTCCCTCGGGAGTGTCACTGTGTGTTCCGTGGCTGCACGTCTGTGTTCAGGGCTTCAGGGATGTGTTCACCTTGTTCTGTGGCTGTGTGTGGCCGGGCTCCGGGCTTGTGCTGACTGTGTGTGTTCCGTGGCCGTGTTTTGGGGTCTGTCGCTGCGTGTGTTCCGTGGCTGCGCGTGGCTGGGTTTCGAGGGTGTCGCTGTGCGGCCGGGCTCGGGGCCCTGGGTGCTCACGTGCCTTTGGCCTAGGTGGGGGACGAGCACCTGAGGAAGCAGCACCGCCTGCTGGCCGACCTGCACTACAGCAAGGCCGGGAAGCTCTTCCAGCTGCTGAAGGACGCGCCCTGCGAGCTGCTGCGAGTCCAGCTAGAGCGAGTGGCCTTTGCCGAGTTCCAGATGGCCAGTGAGTCCCGCGTTTCCGTTTCTCAGACCTGTGGGTGCGGGCTTGGTGCAGGTGCGCCGCAGACGCGCGCGTCTCTGGGGCGGAAGCAAGGCTGTTTCCCACAACTGATGCTGGCTCAGAACCAGGAAAAGCCGTCGCTGCTGTTCAAGTACATTCCGGAACTGAGGAGATGCATCAGGTTCTTTTCAGTGACTCAGTCTGTTGACGTACACGTCAGCGTGCTGTTCACAGTCCTTCACATACAGCGATGTCAGGGGCGAGAGCGGAAATACAGCGGGGAGGGAGCTTGTCCTGCACGCGGCCAGCCCAGGTTCAAAACCCGGCACCCCACGCGGTCCCCGAGACCCACCAGGAGTAATTCCTGTGTGTAGAGCCAGGATTCAGCCCTGAACACAGCCGGGTGTGACCCCCCCCCCAAAATGAACAAAGAGCATGTCAAGAATGGCATTTGTAGCACTGCTCACACGGGCAGGAATCTGGAAGCATTGGAGTATCCGCAGAGACTGGGAAGAGGAACTGCAGGTGGCAGGGGGTTGGTCACAGCAGCAAGAAAGGGTGACACTCGGGAGAGTGTCGTGCTGAGCGGAGCCCGAGGGGAACGGCCCAGAGGGTCCCCTCGCCTGTGGGGGGGACCGTTCCCTGTGCAGCAGGAACCGAGGCCAGTCTCCAGTGGGAAGCTGACGCTCGTGGCAGATGCCGTGCTGGGATGTTCTGCGTGTGGAATTTGACCCTTAGTTGTTTTATAAACTCCGGTGCCTAAGTTTTGTTTCAAATAATTAAAAACCACAACAGAGAGACAGGCCCACGCGGAACCCCTGAACCCAGAGCCGTCGCCGACAGCTTTGGGCTGTGCTTGCAGACGTGGGTTTGCCTCGACCGTACTCCTTGTGGTGGTGCTCGCGGGGTGGGGCGGCCTCCCACAACCCCAGAGGAGCGGGGAGCAGCCGCCTGATGCCCGGGACGGTTCCGGACAGTTAGGAGATTAGAGGGATTCCTGTAAGCCGCTCTCTCTCGCGCTGGGCGGTCCGGATTTCCGCCACGAGGTTGGTACAGGATGGATTTCTAGATTTGTACGTAAGGAGTGATTGCTTTGTGTCTAATCCGCTAGGTCAAAATAGCAACGTCGGGAAATTAAAAACCCTCTCGGGGGCCCTGGACATCATGGCGAGGACGAAGCACGCCTTCCAGCTCATCCAGAAGGAGCTCGAAGAGGAGATTGAGCCCGTAAGTCGGGAGGCCTTTCTGCGGCCTGTCGGTGCTAAATGGGGTGAAAGCCCCGAGTGGTCTGCGTACGTGTGTGTGTGTATGTGCACACACGCACCTTTTCCTGCGACGTGGAGATGCAGTAACAGGCCGGGGATCCTTCCGTGGCTGCAGCACAGATTCTGCCTGCGGGAGCCCCAGGTTCTCTCCCGGCACTGCAGGTCCCCCGACAAGCACCGAGCTAGGAGACGCCCCTGAGCATCACCGGGTCTGGCCCAAGTCAGACTGACCCGTCGTCTTGCTTCTTCCTGTAGGAATCGTCTACTTCTTTAATTTTATAAACACATCTTTCTTTTCTGATATTTTTAAAGAAAGTCTTGGAAAGGCCCCTAGACTCTAGTCACTACGGCCCCATAGGCTGGAGTCACGGACTCCCCAAGAGTAGGCAGTTCCTGTGCACTTTTATCACTTACTGCCCAGGAGGAAAGGCCCGGGGGTGGGGCTGAAGAGAGAGCACAGCGGGGAGGGCGCTGGCCTTGCACACAGCCGGCCCGGGTTCCACCCGCAAGATCCCCATGGGGTCCCCGAGCACCGCCAGGAGTGATTCCTGAGTGCAGAGCCAGGATCAGCCCTGACACCCCGGGTGTGGCCCTCTGCCCCCCCCCCTTCCCCGCCAAAGGCAAGGCCCGTGAGCTCCTTCAGAGCTTCCCGAAGCGGCCTGCTGTGGGGGGTCCGAGGGTCTCGCAGCCCTGCCCGTGCCGGCGGCCCACTCGCCTGCCCCTTCCTGGCCCGCAGCGGACTGGATGCGAGTCACGTCGGGGAGGCGGGCGGGGCGGGGGCAGGAGTCTCCTGGGTGGCCCCGGCTCCGCTGTGCGTGTCGCTGCCCAGTGTGGCGCGAGCCGCGTGACCTGGCGTCGCTTCCGCAGCCCGAGTCCGATGCCGCCGCCCGCGCGGCCGACGCTGCTCCCAGCCTCCACCGGGAGGAGGTGGTCAAGCTCCTCGGCATCTTCGAGTCTCGCTTCTCCTTCCTCCTGCTGCAGTCCATCAAGCTGCTGTCCTCGGCGAAGAGGAAGGCGAGGTGGGTCCCAGGGGCGGCGGGTCTTGCCTGGCCCCTCTCTGGGAACCTGCAGCCCCGAACACGGAGGCCTCGTCCCCACACGGCGGGTGCCAGGGGCTGCTGTGTCCTGGCTCGGGCTGGCAGGGCACAGGGCCGGGGGTCGTGGTCCCAGTGCCTGTGGACTTGGTGAGGGTCCGAGCGGGGGCTGTGGCTGCCGGGCTGTCAGCGCGACGGGGACGTCTGTGTCCCGCCCCCAGCAACGGGCGCACTCATCACCCGGCCCTGGGTTGCGCCAGGCACGTCCATGGGGGGGCCAGACACTGATTCCCCAGAGCAGAGACCCCACGAGTACGGGCTCCCGGGGGTGGGACCAGGTGCCCCAGATGCGGCCGTGCGGCCCCTCAGCCCGCTCCTCCCACCCGCAGCAACGCCGAGGAGGACGCGGCCCTCAAGACCCACAAGCAGGTGTACTCACAGCTCCTGAGGGCCACGGCGGACAAGGGCGCCGGCCTGCGCGAGCGGGTCGGGCTCCTGGTGCGCCTGCTGGACCTGCAGACCCGTGGCGGCGCCCCCGAGGGCCCCACGTCCACACCACAGCCTCGCTGACGGCCCGGCGCATCCTTATTAAAGCCACGCGGCAGACACGGGGGACATCTGTGGCCTCTTTGACGGGACGGGCCCGGACACGGAGCTGGCGCCGTGTCCGACGCCCCGCGGGCCGAGGTTGGGGACCCAGAGCTGCACAGGGGTGACTCTGGTCGGGGGTGGCCAGGGAACTTCTTGTCCCTCCACAGAGCTCCTGCCCAAGGGTGCGGAAAGGCCGTGGCCGCGCCCCTCGTGGCCTGTGGGGGTAGGGGGGAGCCGCCCTCCCACCCCGGCCGTGCCCCCAGTTTTCCACTTTAAACTTGAAACTGTGAATATATATGGGAAGAAAACTATTTTGAATAAATAAATTATTTATTTAAACTGGCGGCGTCTCTCGCCCTTCCGTGTCCTTCACCCTCCGCTGCGGGGGCCTCGTGTCCGGGCCGTGCCCCCTGCACGTGGTGTGTCCTCGTCCCTCGAAGGGCTGGACAAGCATGGCCAAGCGTGAGCTGGGGGAGTGGCTTCACTCGCGGCTGGGAGCCTACAGAACCTGCCACCTTTGCTGGCTTCCTGGGGTCTCCGTCGCCTTGTCCTTGGGACAGATTCTCGGCCCTTCCCGGGAGTGTGCGGCCGAGGACTGAGAGCCGTGGCTGAGCAGAGGGTCAGGCCGCTCTGAGGCGTCCCTTGTCGGCTCAGTGGGAAGATGCAGTTCCCTTGTCAAAGCATGACTGGCGGTTCCGCAGGGAGAGTTCTTTCGGGATCCTCGGGCCTTTGCTGATTTTCTCCGATTCTAACTGCTTCACGTCCCCACTGGAGCCATTCAGGCGGCCGCCCAGCCACAGAAGCTTCTCGGGGTCATTTCACTGCCCGTCGTCCCTGCTGTTGCTCTGTCCTTGGGGCTTTTGCCAACGTTACAGTCCCCCGGGTTTGTGAAAGTTAAGAGGCGTTATATAGCCTGTTGTCGGGCACAGTTGAGGGAGGAAAAGTAAAATTCCCCTGTCAACTTCACGAGTCTGACTTTGGCAGTCGGCCCTTAGGACGGAGCCTCTCGCCTGGAAGGGGCCGAGAACAAGCCCTGCAGGAACATTGGCGTGAGCCCAGGCGCTGCTGTCTGGGCCCGTTGGGGCGGGCTGAGGCCTGTACGTGGCCCCACAGCGGCAGGGAAAGGGGCTCGGGGCTGGCAGGACCCCCCGGCCCCACACCCAGTGGCTGCCTCGAGGTGCCGCTCAAAACGGGCTTGGAACCTGGCCCTGGGGAAACGTTCCTTTATGGTCCCATTGGACAGGACGGGGACTTGGGATTCCGGAGCCCTTGTCGCCTGCCCTGGTCCCCGGCGTGGCTCCTGCCCCCTGGACCCGGCCCTGAGCTGTGGGAAATAGGATCCGGTTTTCCTGTAGCAGGGATGAGGCGCTTGAGGGGACAGTCGTGCAGGCCGGCCTGCGCCCGTCACATGCTCAGGGTCGACGCGTGCACGTCACAGATGTCGAACCACGTCCCCGAGACCGGCCTCCTGGGGAGCAGGGCGTTGGGTGGCCGCCCCGCGTGCCCTCGCGAGTCCTGCTCCCCGGCCACCTGCCAGTAGTGGCGGCCCTTGAGGAGGAAGACGGCGCGGTGGGCGTAGGAGTAGTAGGCGGCGTCCAGGCTCCTGAGCGGGTGGTCTCGGGGCCGCGTGGCCGGGAAGACCTCCGTGATCTTCCTCGGGTACGAGTCAAGAACTCGGTTGCTGCCGACGTCAAACGCGAACACCTGTGAGGCAGATCAGAGGGAGAAGCCCCCGCGTTTCCCCACGAGCTCAGAGCCTGGTTCCGAAGAGGGGGGAAGGGGAGGGGGTCTGCGTGTCACAGAATGGGGGATGGGGTGCCAAAAATTTACTTGAAAACGAATTTCTGCGTGGCCCCTGCCACCGCCCAAGAGTCAGCCCTGAGCACCAGCAGGTGTGGTCCAAAGATAAGGTGAAAGCCAGAAATCAAGCAGAAAAACCCAATTTCTGCTGGTCAGGAAATATTTTTGCTTGGGTGGGTGCAAGGGGCGGGTAAGGGCACTGCCTTAGAGCCGAGTAAGTGCAGGTCCAACGGGCCCAGCCTCGGGGGGCTGTGCTGTATACTGCGAAGAGATTTCTGTTTGGGGGCCATACCAGTAAGTCCTGGCAGAGCTCAGGGGCCCAGGGGGGGCCAGGAATCAAGCCCAGGTCTCCGCCTGCCCACCCTGACCGTCTCCCAGCCAGGGCTGGCCCGGACAGCTTCCCATCACTGGGCACTCACCAAGGACCCTTGGAAGAAGAAAATCAGGTGCTTCTGTCGGTCGTAGAAGGCCGTGTCCAGGGGGCTCGGGACACCAGGGAACCCTTCCGAGATGAGCCTGGGGTAGCTTCGCCCCTGCTCGTCTTTGCTGTGGGCCTGATCCTTGTCACTGTCATATCTCCAATACTGAGTCCCTGAGAGGCAGAGAAAGCGTCGGCGGTGGCTGGTCGGCTCAGATCCCGACAGAGGATGGCCCCGAACACAGGCCCAGGGGGAGGCGGGGGGAGCTGGGTCGTTTCCGCACTGAGCCCCGGAATCTGCCTCCTTGGGCGTCCCTGATGCCTTAGAAGGCAGCTGCCACAGGCACCCCTAAAAGATGCAGGAGGAGCGAGGGCCGCCCCACCCCTGTTCTTGGGCACTTCGAACCTCCCTTTCCCAGGTCAGGGCCTGATGTACGTTTTTGTCATCACGGGGTTCTCTTTCAGGGGTATCTTTAAAACCCACAGTTTCGGAATCTTCTAGTTTCCCCACTGTCTCCATATCACAGATGGGGAGACAGGTGCGCCCCCACATCCAGACAGACTGCCCCTCTGCAGGAACCCGCCTGGGACTCCCGTTGTCCTGGGAAACGGTGCCTGGAACGTGGCTGTGGTTCCCTTCCGGGCCCGCCCCACCTCCCAGCCCGCTCCTGAGCTGGCAGACCCGAGTTGCCGTGGGGATGAGTGTGGCCCCACCCGTAGGGTTTGGAGTGTGAGATCCCAAGGGCAGTTCCTGCTCCAGCGTGGTCTTGGCCCTGGGAGTCAGGGTCTGCAAGGTGCACTAGAAGCGCCCTCTGACGACCTCCGCTACTGCCTGGAGGAAATCTCATCCCGGATTCCTAAACTCTGCGCTTCTCACGCTGAGTGGACGGCAGCGAGGCCCACCCCTTTCCCGTGTGTGGAAGAGAGGGAGTGCAGGCAGGTTTACACGCAGGGCGATGTGGGTGAGTGTACCCAGCTCCCTCTGCCTCTGCTGCCCGCGTGAGCTCAGTCACACATGTCCACACGGCACCTCTCGGAGTGGTGGCACCGAGGAAGCCGCTCCAGAGTGGTCGGGGACACATCAGCATGGAGCATCAGGGCTGACGCACCCCAGACTCACTGTCTCAACTACCGCCTCCAGCCACGTGGGCCCTGACATTCCTGCTGGAAACAGCCTCTGACTGTCGGTGGGGCCGTGTCCAGCCCAGGGCCCCGGCTGGGAGGCCGTGCGTGCAGGGACATGGTGTGTCTCTGACCCGTTCTTGGTGAGTCCCACTCACAGCTGCCCGAGACACCCGGCTCCCTCCTCCTCCTCTTCACAGGCTCCACCCGAAGCGTGTCTGCCCTCCGTGTCTGTGACGGCCCTCTGTCCACTGTCCTCCTCAAACTGGGCCCAGTCCTCTAGAACATGCTATGCTGGTAGAAACATCCCAGAGTGGCCCCTGGTGAAGTTCTCACCCCCGACGGAACGAGGCACTCCCTCATGCCTCGTTCCTGGGACCCTCTTGGTTTCTCCCTGAGATTAAACACAGCCTCTGGGAGAACAGCAAGCACTCTGCCCTGAGCTGTCCCTGACAGTGTTTATCTGGTTTGGGGCCACACCGGACAGTGCCCAGGGGTCACTCCTAGCTGGGGACCCTCTGGGTCAGCCACATGAAAGGCCAGAATCCTGCCTGCCTTATCACTACAGCCCACATTGAAGCTTATTTTTTTTCTCTGCTTTTATTTTGGGTCACACCAGCAATGCTCAGGGGTTCCTCCTGGCTCATGCCTTCAGGAATTACTCCCGGTGGTGCTCGGGGGACCATATGGGATGCCGGGGATTGGACCCGGGTCGGCCATGTGCAAGGCAAACGCCCTCCCTGCTGTGCTGTCGCTCCAGCCGCCACTAGAGCTTCTTAGAGAGACCCGGGTTCAACCAGCCCCCCAGAGCAAGCGGTTGCCAGCGTGTGAAGACGGGACCCTGCGGGGACTCCGAGCGCCTGACCCGGGACTTCACCTTTGAAAAAGTAACGCTCATCTCTCCCGGCGGCCCAGACGTGCACGAAGGCGTCGATGTCGCGCGTGGGGATCCCGTGCCAGCCCAGCAGGAGGGGCAGCGGGTCCCCGTAGCGGGTCCTGTTGTTGCGGTTCTCATACAGCCAGTACCAGCCGCGGCGGAAGAAGTAGGTACTGAAGCGCATGGTGACGCGGCCGTCGCTGCCCCGCTCCCTGCGGACCCAGTCGAAGGCCGTGTCGAAGGACCCCTCGCAGGCGCCTGCAGGAGACCGAGGGGGGCCGCTGTCCCACCACCAGCCACGTCCCAGCCGCAGCCGTGCCTCTGCCACGAGGCACCGAGGCACCGTGGGCGACCAGGTGGTGGCCCGTCCAGCTCAGGGGAGGGCCCTGGACGCGATGCCAGCGAGGACAGTGCTCAGGTCGCTGTCCAGGGACGGTCTAGCTGCCCTGTTCCCAGAGCGTCCCAGGGGGAGTCTCGGCCAGGGCCCCTAACCGGTACGTCCTCGCCACAGTGGGCTGGGCTGATGTCCAGGGCAGCGGGGCCTGGGCTCTCACCGTACAGCTTCTGGATGGCCCTGCGGTCAGACGTGTCCAGCTCAAATCTGGGTGCCTGTGGCGGGTAGTTGGGCTGCATGATGGAGCCCGGCCGGTAGCTGTGGGCCAGGCCCAGCACGTGGCCAATCTCGTGCACGGCCACCTGGGAAGGACAGCCAAGCCATCAGGCCACCCGAGTCCACCCCTGACTCTACAGATGGCAGATCCCACGACACAGGATGGGATCCCATTACATAGGATAGGATCCCA